AGCAAATATGATTTAGTAGACTGTCAAAAACACTGTGAAATAAATTTGCTGTGGCTCTTTGTAAAACACACACACACACACACACACACACACACACATCTATCCTGAAGTACAGTGCTGTCGGTGATAGAATAATATCCATATGCCTACAAGGAAAACCAGTTAATACTACTATTATTCAAATTTATGCACTGACCACCAAAGCCAAAGGCAAGGAAATTGAAGATTTTTACCAATTTCTACAGTCTGAAATGGACAAAACATGAAATCAAGACTTAGTTCTTATTGCTGGTCATTGGAATGTAAAAGTTGGAAACAAAAAAAGAATCATCAGTAGTTGGATAATATGGCCTTGGTGATAGAAATGATGCCAGAGATTGCACGAGACCAATGATTTATTCATTGCAAATACCTTTTTCAACAACATAAAACAGCAGCTATACACATGGACCTTGCCAGATGGAATACACAGGAATCACATTGACTACATCTATGGAAAGAGGTGATGGAGAAGCTCAATATCTTTAGCCAAAACAAGGCTAGGAGCTGACTGTGGAACAGACCATCCATTGCTCATATGCAAGTTCAACTTGAAGCTGAAGATGATTAAAACAAGTCCATGAGAGCCAAAATGTGATCTTGATTAAATCCCACCTGAATTTAGAGACCATCTGAAGAACAGATTTGATGCACTGAATACCAATGATAGAAAACCAGATGAATTGTGGGATGACATTAAGAGCATCATAAATGAAGAAAGTAAAAGGTCATTAAAAAGACAAAAAAGGAAGAAAAAGCTACCAAAAAAATTAAAATACTTGGGGATAAATCTTACCAGGGACACAAAAGACCTGTACAAAGAAAATTATAAAAAATTACTTCAAAAAACCATAAGAGATCTACATAAATGGGTGAACATCCCATGCTCATGGATAGGAAGATTGAACATTGTGAAAATGTCAGTTCTACTCAAAACAATCTATACATTCAATGCAATCCCAATCCAGATCCCATCAACATTTTTTAAGGATTTGGAAAAAACAATCACTAACTTTATAGAGAAAGGAAAGAGACCTCGGGTAAGCAAAGTACTATTGAAGAAGAAGAACAAAGTAGGAGGTCTCACACTGCCAGATCT